CAGTGGGTTTGGAGCCACGCTGAGCTTGGCCAAAGCCCAGAAAAGACAGGGGGGCATGGGGAGGAGAGAGATGATGGGGAGGAGCTTCAGGAGCATCCCTCGGACCTTCTCTGGCTCCTGGTGTGACACCAGCAGGCTTCTCCCTCTGCACAGGGCAGCAGAAACATCCTGGCTTATGCTGGGGTGTGGAGGGGATTAAATCAGAGCTGAGACAGAAACAAAGAGGCAGAAACTGGAGGGTCAAAGGAGGCCAGGGATGTGCCCAAGCCTCAGCTCTGGTGATCAGGCAATTAGCAAGCCAAGCATGAGAATAAATAATCCAGCTGAAACAGGGAGAGCAGGACAGAGCTGGCAGTAAGAAGGAAGGAAATCAATCACCAGACCTAATGGAGAATTATCCAGGAGAGAGAGTTATTCCTAATCCCATCAGGGGCTGGCTGGGAAACAAATTCTCCTGGCTCTGTGGCTCTCAGCACGCTTTTCTGGGTCAGGGCTGGGCTGGGCAGGCAGGAGGGCAGGGCTGGAGGAGCAAAGGGACAACCAATGGCTCCAGGGCATCTTGCTACCCTGCAGGACCTGGCGAACACCTTGAGGGTCCTCAGGCCAGCAGGTGACCAAGTGGCCATCCCCAAGAGCCCTGTGGTGTCCGTGCTCCTGCTGTCACCCTCGTGTCCCTCTCAAGCTGCTCAGGCAGAAGCAGATGTTGCTGGCACAGCATGGGAATGGGGAGGGAGCGTGGAAGGAGCTGTCTGTGCAGGAGCCAGGCGGTGGCTGGGTCACCACAGAACGTCCCCGGGTGTGACTCCAGGGACAGCTCGAGAACATGAAAAAGCCACAGAAGGGAGTTATTTTGGTGAGTGGCAGCTGCTGCCTCTCACGAGGCTCCTCCTGCTCAGCAGCCCCAGGTCTTGGGGCAGCCAAGCCAGCGCTGGAGCAGCTCCCAGGGAGGCAGGATCCGCCCTTCCTTCCCAGCAAACCTGGTGTCTCCACGGTGTCTTCCCACCCCAGCATCCCATCCCGAGTCCCCAGCAGCTGTGGCCACAGGACTCCCCACTCCTCTCCCACGTGGGAACTCCCAGCCCTCGCAAACCCCAGAACCGAGGATTCCCTGACGAGCCACGGCACCAAGGAGACGACCCGAAAGAAGCCACGGCTTATTTTTAGAGACAACCTTATGATTCCTGAGCACGTGGCCCAGGCAACACTGCACAGGCAGCCCCAGATTGGCCGCAATCTGCTTTTCTTCTTGACAGACATCATGTCTGAATCTCTATCTCCACAAGATGCTCCCAGGAGAGGAGACATTTAGAGACGACCACAACGCACAACATTTCTGAAAGGTCACTGCCTGCACCAGGCTGTGAGGAGCCGAAGCCACTCATCAGCAACAGGGGCTTTAGGGAGGTGTTTAATATTCCATGAGCATCTCTATTTCTCTACCAAAGTGGATAACACTTCTAAAAGTAGGGGAGGGGGGCAGGGCAGGTGGGTGCTGGGCTCGTTTCCACCCAAGGTGGGCTGGCTGAACCACCAGTCAGAGCTGGGAAATGGTGGCTGAGAGTGAACCTGACCCAGATCTCAACAGCCTCAGAACCTGCCAGACCAGAGCAGAGGCTGAGCTTGACTCCCCCTTTTCAGCTGCATCCCAGACCACCCAGCTGCCACCAAGCTGTTCCACGAATGCCACCAGGAACCCTGGAGCTGAACCCCACACAGGGCTGTGGTCCCTGCATGGACAGCAGGGGCTCCTTTTTTGAGGGTTCAAGTGAGAAGTTTGAATTTGCAGAAGCCCATTAACATCAGGGGCAGGATGAGGAGGGGCTGGGAGGCAGCTGCAGGGTGACTGCCCATGTCCCACAATGCCAGGACTTCCTGGTGTTGTCCCATCCCAGTCTGTTACCAGGACTGGGTGCCGGCCACAGCCCCCACGGTGTCCTTATCCCTGAGCACCAACCCAGCCAGCAGCAGGGTGCCAGCCCAGGTCTAGGAGACTCCCACTGCCAACCCAGCTTTGTCCTCTGCCACCAAAGCTGGGCTTTGCCAAGGTCCCCATCCAAGCCCAAAGGTGCCCATCCAAACCAACCTGTGGCCAAGCTTGCCCAGTCTCAGGTTTCTCCCCAGCCTGGGAGTGGGCACAAGGAACCCAAACCCCTGGCAGCTGTAGTGTCCATGTGACATTTGTTGCTGCTGGAGGTACAAACCACGAGCCCACAAGAGCCCCAGCAGCACAAATGTGACAGCCAGGCACAGAAAAAGCAGGGCCACGCTCCTGGCAAGGGCTCCTGCCCCCAAAGAGACACGAATACAGAGCATTAAATGAGAGAGGGGAATTTGCTCCTTCCCCTGCAGCTGCCTCCCCCTCCTGAGCTCATCCCTCACCTTCTGCACCGAAACAGCCTGGGAGCAAACCGAGGGCAGCGTGGCTGAAGCCATGTGAGAGGGGACAGAGGGACTGTGCCAGAGCCTGGCCAGGCAGGACATCCCCAGGCACAGCACCGGGGCCGTGGTGGGGACACCTCCGGGGGTGTCCCCTCCTGCTGGGGGGACACATCACCCCCAGGGGCTCTGAGCAGCAGGGAGGACGTGAGACCTTGTCACAGGAAGGGACCCTGTGCCTTTGCTGCTCCAGCCCAGCAGCTCGGTAAGAATGGAGGTGCTGGGGCAGGAGGATGAATGAGGGAAGAGGAAAGCAGAGGCACCATTAGGCACCTTTCAGAGCACTGATGGATGACACTGCTCAGGGGCGTGCAGGGCGCTGGGATGCTGACTGCAGCCACCCCCAGTGCCAGCACTGGTCCCAGGCTGGCCAGCAGTGCCCAGCAGAGCCCTGCCCTGCTGCTGGACAGTGATTCCTGGTGATTTCAGTGCCAGCTGCCTCCCACGGGCTTTGCCCCAGCACACGACCTCGTTTGTCCAGCGGGCCCAACCATGCCAGCCCTCGTTAGATCAGCTCGTTCATTAAGCTCAGTGCTTCAGGAACGCTGGCCTGAGCCCCTCGGGGGGGCTGGCACATAAATCACCCCCTGATTGCTGTCACTGCCTGCCAGTGCTGGACCTTTGATGGCAAAATCTCCTAATCCCTCACCTGAGCTGTGGTGACACCGATCAGGGCAGTCCCTGCCAGCCCTCCGAGCTCCTGGATAAAACAATGGCTCTTTGCAGCCTTGACCCACAGGGAAGACCTTGTTCCTGAGGGCTCAGCCCCATGGGAGCCTTCATCCATGGCAGGGGTGCCCAGCAGGGCCAGCTGCCCTCAGGAGAGGCAGCCTGGAGTCCTGGCTGCTCCCTGCACCTCGGCAGGGTGATCCATCATTCCAGAGGCTTTAATCCGACTGGACTGCTGGACATGTGGGCAGAGGAGCAGACTGACAGGCCAGACTGATGGACAGCTGCCTGCTCCAAGGCCAGCAGGGACAGGCAGCCGTGGCTGGGAATCAGCCTGGTCCCAGCAGGACTGCTCAGCTCTGCAGAACCCGGCTCGGAGCTCTGCAGGGGAAAGGGGCAGAGGTGGAGCCCCCAGTCTGCTGGAAACCCTGCTGGAATTCCAGCCAGGAGCAGCACGGAGTGACAGCTTTCCCTTCCCCTCCCAGCTCTGCTCAGCATCAGTCCCGGGCTGAGAGCATTTTTTAAGACCTGTCTACAGCTGCTGCTTCACTGGAGATTTTATTGCCAACCCAATTATGATCATGGGAGCAGCGAGAGCAAAATGCCACTACGGGGGTGACATCCCAATCCATCCCTGCCGCGCCGGACCAACCCCTGAAATAACCCCGGAGAGGGGAGGGGGACAGGGGCATTCACCCCAGATCCCTCCTGGCCTTGCTGCTCAGATTCCAGAGGGGCCCAGCAGAGCCTGGGGGGGTCCAGCTGTGCCACCCCCAAAACCCCCGGGCTGGAGGATGGCAGCAGTGACATTTGGAGCGAGACTCGCTGGCGTCAGGCCCCAGATCTGCGGCTGCAGGGCATCAGCTGGGGCCGGAGCAGCTGGAGAGCAGCTCCCTTCCCATGTGCAGCCCCAAGAGGATCCCAAAAGCCAAAATCTCCACGGGGGAAGGGAAAGGGGATGGCAGGGCCATGTGCCTTCACTCCCTGTCTGGCACCTGGACAGCAGAGCAGGGGCAAAGCCTCCAGAGCTCCTCTCTGAGCTGATGAGCTCCCAAATCCCAGGAAATCCACCCAAACCCCAAAGCACAGCTGCACACGGATCCTGGCACGGCCAAGGCTGAGGGCCCAGCAGTGTCCAAGGCTGGGGTCCCACTGCTGCCTGCTGTGGCATTCACATCCTCTGGACACAGAGACATAATTCTGTCTCTCAGGAGAAGCAGAGAGAGAAGAAGAGAAAACAATCTTTATCTCTGCTCCTTTGTTTTCCCCATGTGGAATGTGGTGTGGAGATTTTTTACCTGCAGTGATTGCTGGCTGGATTCTGGTGAAGGATGTTTGGGGTCAGTGACCAATGGGATCCAGCTGTGTCTTAGACTCTCAGCAGAGAGTAATGAGTTTAAGTTAGGTAAGTAAGAAGTGAGTATGTAGAATAGGATAGTATATCTTTAAATAGTATATCAATGTAATATAGCATAGTTTTAATAAAGTTTAAAAATTGAAATAGTTTTAAATATTTATTTAAAATAAATATCCCTCAGCCTCCTGATCTGGAGCCAGACATCATCATTTCTTCCCTGAATCCGGGGCTTGCTGCATTTTTTTACTGCAGCCTGCCACCAACCCTGAGCAAGTGCCTGAGCTCAGCAGCCCAGAGCTTCACAGCACAGCTCTGCCTGAGTGGCTTCTGGCTCGTTCTGCGTGGTGACAACAGGCTGGAGATCTCCCAGCTGCTCCAGGGACCCACGTCCAGCCGAGGGCTGCTGCTGCACGAGGAGGTGGGGACGAGGAGCGGGCAAATGCCACCAAGCAGGGCTGGCCACGAGGTTAAAACAAGCTGGATTTTGAGTGGCCCAGTGCACAACCCCCAGTCCCACCGGAGCCCAGGGAGTTCTCACCGTTCTGCACGTCCGGGGCTGCTCCGACATTGGGATCTGCTGAGACATTGGAGCCTGGCCATGTTCAAATGGAGAAGTGTCCAGCACAGGCAGCCTCGGCTCCTCTGCACAGAGAGCACAAGGAGAGCACTGTCAGTCACCTTCCCCCCGTGTCTGCCACAGAAATCCCAAATAAACCCCTCCAAAGTCCAGGGATGCACTTCCCAGAGAGAGGGAGCATCCTCAGTGCTGCTCCAGCCAGATGTGTGACCTGACCATTGCAGCTTGACTGGTTTTATCTATAAAGATACAAATATTATATTTTTATTTATATATGGATAAAATATTTTATATGTAAAATAATTCTATCTCTATACATATTATGTATTTATATATAATATATATATTTATATTAATATATAATTTAATAAACATTACAAATCTATATTTTATAATACACATTTAATATATATTATATATAATACAATATATTATGTATCATATACTATATTACATAATAGAGTATATTCTATACTATTAATATTATAGATTACAATTATTATTATATATTATAATAGAATATATAGCATTGTATTATTTCTATATTTTAAAATATATAAATATTATAGATTTATAGTTTATATAAATATAAAATTCTATCACACTTTGTGCCCTGCAGGATCCTCTCCCCACCAGGAGAGCATCTGAGCCCAGCCCTGCCGTGGGTAGCTCTGGCTGGAGCAGGGAAGACACGGCACCGCCCTTGGGGAATCGTGTGCAGGGACTGCAGGGGGGCACTGAACCCACCCAGTGGTGCCCACTGCCCAGGAGGCCTCGATTCGGGGGAGATTTCACCCAAACCTGGAAGCAGAAGTGCCACTGGCCGGACCCCCAGCCCCGTGCCCACCCCCTGGGCTTTTTGGGGGACCTGGGGGGTCGGGAGATGCTCCCAGCCCTGCTGCAGCGGATGCTGAACAAATGATTTGCTGTGGCTTTACCCAATTGCTTTGAGCTCTCTGGATCAAACTCAATTTGCCTGTTGCAAAGAAAAAGGGAATTTAAATAGCTCCTTTTGTGCGGAAATCCTGCTTAACAGCCCTCAAACGTCCCCGGCTGGGTCTGCAGCACACCCCCGCAGAGACGCGGCTGCAGCTCCGTGCCTGCTCCGGACCCCACTCCGGTTGGAAGCTGCGGTTCGGGTGGGCAGCAGAGGGGTTAACTCCTGCTGGGAGAGCTTGGGCAGCCTTAGGCAAAGGAGCTTTCCAGGCAGGGATTTGCTGGGGAACGCAGAGGAACGAGGAGCCGGCCCTGGGGGCACAGGGATCACACCCCCGGCACATCCCCGAGCCACGAATGCCGGGGGGATGGAGCTCTCCATCCCCGTGAGCTCCTGCAAAACCCAGCGGTGTCCACAGGCTGCTGCGGCTGGGTAAATCCTCCCTTCTGGGGTTCCCGGAGAACTGTCAGTGCCCAGCTTCTGGAAAAGCTAAAATTCTGCCAGGAAAGCAGCACCCAAAAAATCAGAGAGATTCCCTTCAAACCTGCAGGTTTGGGCTCTGCCGTGCAGGGACAGTGCTGAGGGTTCAGTGCAGGACTTCCACCAGTGCCTGGCAAGCCCAGCTCATTCCCTGCTCCACATCTTCCCTTCCTGCTCTGCCTCAGGGACCCAAACTTCTCCCTGCAAAGGCAGGAACCCACAGTTCCAGATCCCAAAATGTCCCAGTTTCAGTGGGATACACTGAGTTCTCCACCCCATCCAGTCCCTAGGTGGCAGGGATGCAAATCCCATGGGATACACGGAACTCAGGGATGCTCCCAAAAAAAGGAACAGCCCTAAACCCCCCACAGCAACAGGAACCTCCTGCCCTGGGCAGGCCAGAGCTTCCTGCTGGAGCCAGGGGATGCTCCAGCCCCTGCAGGAGGTAGGGCTTGGACAACACGGACAGCTCAGGGATCCCAGCAGGATGGACAAGCTCAGGATTCCAGCAGGATGAAAAAGCCCAGGAACCCAGCAAGACAGGAAAGCCTAGGATCCCAGCAGGATGAAAAAGCCCAGGATCCCAGCAGGACAGGAAAGCCCAGGATCCCAGCAGGATGAAAAAGCCCAGGATCCCAGAAGGATGGACAAGCCCAGGATCCCAGCAGGATCCCATCTCCTCAGGAACGTGCCCTGCAGCACAGGGAGCTGGAGCACAGTCTGGGTGTAACTCTGACCCAGCACCTGAAATGACAGCAAGAATGACCCAAACCAAGCTCTGAGATGCAGAAACGACCCAGAAACACCTGAACCCACCCTCAGCACCTGTAGGAGGGAGCTTGTGGCACCTCCAGCTGACAGCTGGTGCAATTCCACAAGGAATTTGCCTCCAGGGGATACAGTGTGTGTGCTCTGAGGGCCTGGGGCTCCAGGGGCTGATGCACACGGATCTGCTGTGGATCCCTGGGGCTGCTCCAGTCCTGGGAGATGGGATAACTGGGAGGGAAGTGGGTTTGGTTCTCTTGCAGCACCATGTGTGGGACTCACACACTCAAATATTCCAGCAGGGATGGAGGAGGCTCCCCTCGGAACCAGCCCCACCCGAGGGTAAAATCCCACCCACAACAGCTCAGCCAGGCTCCAGCTCTGGGGATGGAGAAGGTAAAATTTCAATCCACTTCCAGCAGGCTGGACACAGCCACGTCTTTACTGCAGACCTGCAAACTGCAGTCAGCCCAAATGTGCTCAGCTCCTGGCCCTGAGCAGCATCTCCTGCCCTCCCTGAGAGGTTTCACTCCCAGCCCTGCCTGAGCATGGGGAAGATGGAATTTAAGCTCACTTAGAGACCACCTGAGCTTGGCTTGTCAGGTGAGTCGGTCATTCCCAGCCCTGGGAATGAGCTGATGGTCTTGGCATTTGTTTTTGGCAGCTCTCAGGTCACTTAGCAACCTCTGTCTCAGGTTACCTCCGGGGGTTTTGTCTGCAAATACATTTTAATCCTTGTGAAATGGGACCCACCAGCTCGTGGGTGAAGTGCCTAAAGCCTCCTTTGGTCCCACGTGGTGACACCAGCACAGCTCCCTGGCCCTCTATGCTTGTGCCACCAGGGTTGTTGTCACCTTCTGCTCCTGTGCTTTGTGTTTTTTTTTACTCAAAACTTGGATTTAAACTCTTTTCTGGGCTACTCAGTGGAGGAGCCAGGAGAGGATTCCCCTCTCCCTGGGTACCACATGGGACCTGCTTCTCCATCAAGGAGCTTCCAGTTCTGCAGAGGGGATCCCCTTGAACAAAGAAATTCAGCAGCAAATCCCAAAGCCAAATAGGACCCAGATGTCCTAGAAATCAGCAGACATCCAGAGAACCAGACCAAGGTGCCCAAGTCGAGCTCTTCTAAGGCAGGAGCATCCCTTGGGATGTGCACAGCAACTGTTCCATGCATCACAGCACATCTGCCTCATCTCAGAGCGATGCAGAAAGGGACCTGGGGGTCCTGGTCAGTGGCAAGTTGGATCTGAGGCACCGCTGAGTCCTGGCAGCCCAAAGGGCCGCCCTGTCCTGGGGGCAGCAGGCCAGGGAGGGATTGTCCCACTCTGCTCTGCCCTGGGGCAGCCTCAGCTCCAGTGCTGGGGGCACTTTGGGCACCACAAGGTCAGAAGGAGCCAAAGCTGTTGGAGAGTGTCCCAAGGAGGGACACGGAGCTGGGGAAGGTCTGAGGAGCGGCTGAGGGCACTTGGCTCCTTCAGCTGGAGCACAGGAGATGAGGGGAGGCTCCTCGGGGCTGCAGCTCCTCCCGAGGGGAGGCAGAGGGGCAGGGGCTGAGCTCTGCTCTGGGACAGCCCCTGGAGCCCAGCGAGGGCTGGAGCTGTGCCAGGCCTTGGCATGGAGCTCAGGGAAAGGTTCTTCCCCCCGAGGGTGCTGGCACTGCCCAGGCTCCCCAGGGAATGGTCCCGGCCCCGAGGCTGCCAGAGCTGCAGGAGCGTTTGGACAGCGCTCTCAGGGCTGGGCAGGGTGGGGCTGTTGGGGGGTCTGGGCAGGGACAGGGGTTGGGCTGATGATCCCTGGGGGTCTAGCTCAGGATATTCTGGGATTTGATCATTCCATGGATCCCAGGACACCTGATAGTGCCCCAGATCCGGTCAGTGTCACACAGCCCTGGTATCCAGGAGCATTAAGCCAGAGACTTTTGCTCATTAGTGTAATTAATGTCAGATTACCCAGCCAGCTGAGCTTCCAGCTGACCTTTAGTTATTGAAATATCAACAACAAAAATGACACATTACCACGGGGAGGTGTCACAGGCTGCTCATTTGAAATCCTCTCTCAGTGACAGGCCCCCAAAGAGTTTCTTTCTGCAAAAGTAAATGGGAAGATTTGGAAAATGTTCAAGGAAGGAGGAAGAATTCAGCTCCACAGAAGCACAACAGGGACACAGCATCTCCCAGCTTTAGGGGCACAGCCAGAAATGACTGCAGGGAGAGAAATGGAAGGAGAAATGAGGCAGAGCTGTAAAAAATGAAACAGAGAGAATAAAAGATCTGTTTCTTAGGAGTCTTGGGAATGTCACTGAGGTGGAGACAGCAGAGCCAGGACTGAGGCAGCAGGGCCAGGTCCCCAGGCCATGGAGTGATCCCTGAACGAGGACAGCTCTGCCCAGCACAAAGTCGGGGCAGCAGCACCCTGAGCCAGAGAGAACCTCAGGGCATGGAAAGAAACCCCAAAAACCTGGCAGCAATGTCTGATGCTGGATGAGCCTGACCCAACAGATCACAGCCCCATTTGTCACTGCAACAGCAACAACCTGGACCCGGATTTCCAGAGGTTTCCAGATGTTGGTGCAGGCTGAGCAAGGCAAGGGAAGGCAGCAGTGCCAAATTGCTTTGCCACAAGGCTGGTGCTTGATGTAAAAGTGACCCTGAAGGTAAGAGGTAAGACCCTGAAATTTGTTTTCTCTCAGGAAATGATGCCTCAGGTTTGAGCTTTTATAATTTTCAGGTTCTGTGCTGCTTTAGTGTGTGGGTCTGGGCTTCACATTTAAGGGATGGTAAACTCTCTGCACAGAGCAGGGAGACAAAACAATTCTTGCTCCAGCTGGGCACCAAGGACAAATGATCCAAATCTCAGCCCAAGAGCACAAACAACGTGGAATGA